CACTCCTGACTGCGCGAGACCCGAAATTATTGATAGCATATGCAGATGCACACCAATCTTTAACCGCAGAGAAAAGGGTACAAGAGAAGTAGGACTCAATATTGACGATAAAAAGACAAAAAAATATTTGCGCATAAACAGACAGGGGCTCAGAAATAGAATAGGACAGAATGCAACAATAGACACTTATAATTTTGAACCAATTAGTCGATTCAAATATCTAGAATCTCCAATTACAGTAGATAACGATGTAACAGAGGAAACAAAAGGTAGAATTTAAGCCGCAAATTATAGTCTCTTCTCCCTAGTTTTTTCAAGTCCAGAAGCATCTCAAGAACATCAAAGGTGAGAGTCTATAAAAGAATTTTAAGACCAATAATAGGTTATGGATGCGATACATGGAAAATGACCAAGGATAATGAAGAAAAACTTTTTAATTAGGTGAAACAGCATTACTAACAATGCGATCGAGACTTTTGCAAGCCGCACTGTTTTTTCGCAGCAGCAACACGCAAATTTTGGTTCTGCAAATGTGCAATTTGGGTCTAGTGAACGCAACTGAAAAGTTTAATTAAAAATATAGAAATATGATACAAAAATAATAAGTTGCTTTCTTTGTGTTGACTAAACTGCCTTAAATTTTCACTTCTATTTGTTCTGGATTTCGACGTAGAATAACTGCAAAACGTTTACGTTTAGACCAAGTAATACTTCATGCGAGTAAAATTTACATTAAAAAGGAATGAAAACATATATAATATAAAGCGTTCGATTTTAAAGTTCAAGTTAAGTACCATTCAACAAACATTGCAACTTTTATAAAGGCTGTCGATGAGACCTTAAATAAATAAATATATAAATAAATAAATGGACGCTCATTTTAGAGCATCAATGCCTTGAATACTTGAAATTTTTTTAGAACATTTTTCATTTTTAATCGAAATTTTCAATTTAACATAGACTATATGTTTGGAAAAATTTCCTGTCTTTTGATTAATTCTGAATATTGTCTGAGATCGTCCAAAATGGCATTCTTCGATAACTTGAGCTTGACTTGATATCAATTTTTCAGATTCATTGATACGTGGAGGCTGTATAATGTTCATTCCTATTACATGCCTAGTCGCCCTTATGTTTGAGATACTTGGAGTTTTTAGAATGATCCCAGATATGCTCACCTACAAATGAAAACTACTTCTTGGGGTCTTTTCGTATTTGCTATCTGCTGTTGTCTCGATAATCGCGAGAATTTATAATATTCAACAAATATTGAAAACAGTTCCCCCCAAACGAAGTGCCTAAGTGGGTGAACTGTAGTATTGATTTTTAATACAGAGGTAATCGCAACATACTCGTTTTAAATCAATTAGGCATTTCTTTTTTTCTATGTAATGAACTTTGAAATATTTATACTTCCTTTAAAATATGTAAATTTTGTCGCCCCATCAGGAGACAAAAAAGCAACTTTGCAAGCAAAATTGTATTTCATTTAATCGTTTTGCATGCTTTTTCAATAAATTCATGCAAAATTATAATCTCTTTTATTTTACTTCTCGTTTGCTGCTACACGTATATTAACCATAACGTGTCTAAACCAATAAGTTTTACAGCTACGTACGCTCGTTATGCATATATCTCAATACCCAGTAATTTTTCTTTTAAAATAAAACCGAGCTACACGTTTCAAGAGCAACACCTTTGAATTATTTTAACGCGTTTGCTATTAAAGTAATTGGTATCTATTTTTCATGTCTAAATTGCATGTATCCTGGAAAAAGCAGTTCAAAATGTGTTTGCCAATATTGGGGTTACAATTTGTAACTATTTGGAAGCAGACAAGATCTTTTAAATATTAAAGAAGAACAACGACTAATTGAAGACAGTAGTTTAAAAAATCGTGGAAAGGAAAGTACATAGTACTAGACGTCTTTTCTACTTTTGTGCAGATTTTGCTAATTTTTTGTATTCCACTTGTTTCACAAATTGAAATATTGTCAAAATGTTCCTATTTCCAGTGGCAGGACTGTTTTCAATCTATATTTCAATGCTTCACTATCAGAACATGGAATAAACTGGATTGTAAAGAAAACATATTAAATCCCATGGAAGTTACAAGATAGAAAATTGGCATACAGTGTCTACATTAAATTACAATAAAACATTTCAAATTGCCAAATTAAATAACCTATGCATAAAATTTCCTGATGTGTTTGTCTCAGTGCTTGTCGGTGACTTTTATCATTCGCACTTGTGATGATTCAATATTTGAATATTCAAATTTTTATTAATGCCTCTAGGTTTCGCCAAGAGTGTTGAACTGTCATAAATCTCTACACAATAGTGAAACAGTTTCTATATGATACATGTTATATTTGTTCCAAACATAACCATCTGATGTCCGCAAATCTGAATCAATCCAAACTAACACTTATTAATAAGATAATTATTTCCAGTTAGTATTTCTTAGAAATCATCTCTTCAAATAATATCTGGTGACTATGCTACTGACTCGCTTTCATTTCATAGGTATATAGAAAAATGTCCATCTAAAATTGCTCTAAAAAATGCAGTTCTTCTAGAAAAAAGACAAAACGCGAGAAAATTAGTCTCTTTGCATTCTAAATTAGATTACTGATGAAAGTGTCATATTATGACAAAAACCATTGAATATTTGAAAAAGAACAGCTAATCGAAATGCTGACATGTTGTAAGCATAAAAATTATTTTTGCCCCTTCGCTGAGAAACCTTTTTCTGAATGAATACTTTTGCTGTGATTCTACCAGTCTAGTAATCATATGCGTTTCTCTCAGTTGAAACAAAACTTCACGGTGGACAATTTCGTCAATAAAACTATCAAAAAATCTCTATCGACAGAACACGAATATACAAATCAGATGTCAACCATCAGGGATACAAATTCAAAGAGGTGAATCGTCGCAAATAGTAAAATGAAAAGGCACACGCCAGACATTCACACTGCCGACATGACAAGCTTCAGCTGCCCCTAGGCAAGAACATCTGCTTTACCAGGTAATGTATGGCTCTATCTAGCCATAGTACCTATTTTATGCTACACCATAATTTCATATCACTCCGAAAACCGCACGTGCGTTAAACGCATTGTTTTAACTATTTTAAATAATACCGTTTCGCTTAAAGTTTCACCTCAACTTCTTTACTTATTTTTTTAACGACCTATCAGTGTATCAGCCAGTATCAGTCATAATATTGTATTTTAATTAATTTGTAACAGCAAATGAAGTATGTGATATGTAATTTTCAAAATTGAAAGTTACATCGAGTTGGCGCTATTTTTAATTCCAAATCAAAATCAATTCTTATGCTATTCTAGCTATTTTTAATGTGAATTTCTCTCTTATTACAAGTTACATGTCTTTTGTATGTATGTAATGTACAAATTATATGTGTTTAATGTAAAACGCAATGTTATTTCATTCGCAAAGAACTAATTGTCCAAATCAACCTACCTATTAGCAATTGGAAATTATATTTTTCTAATATGTATCTACATATTTTTTAATGTTATGATATCCCTATCTTTCCTGGGTTTCAGCCAAAGTGTGAAGTAAATTTTTTGAAACATCGTTTATTTCATTACATTTCTTGGTTCAGAATGTTTTTTTGGATTGTTATTATTAAGTAATATTTTTCTGATTTTAAAAAAATTTTCTTGTCTGTAATTTGGGTGTGATAATTTCATAGCTCTATCTGTAAGTGCATTTATTACGCTTTTTTATATTTTTGGGGTGCATATGAATTGTAGTTTAAATATCTTCCTGACCAAACTTCTTTTATATACCAATTTGTTTTTATTTCACCTGAATTATCATAATTTACTGTTATGTCTAAAAAATGTATTGATTGATTTTCATCTTTTTCTATTGTAAATTTTATAGTGTGAAAATGGTTGAATTTATCTAGGGTATATTGAACTTTATCTTTGGGTAAACACATAAAGCAATCATCTACATAGCGCTTAAAGAAAGTTGGTTTATAATTTAGGCTTATTATTATGTTTTTTTCAAGCTTTCCATAACAAGGTTTGTAATTGTCGCTGATATGGGGGAACCCATTGCTACACCGTATATTTGTGAATAATATTTGTTTTCAAACTTGAAATATGTAGATTTTAGGCATAGTTCTACCGCTTCAATAAATTCTTTTTCTGGAATTTTTGAATGTTGTTCGATTTTTTGCATTGGGGAGAGCAAAAGGAAGATTTTTTACTTCACACTTTGACTGAATCACAGAAAAGGAAAGATAGGAATATCATAACAAGTACACGCAGTCAGGAAAATAAATCAAAATATTTTTTAATATACCTACTTTTTCAGTTGTATTAAAACGGTCCAAATCTAACATTCATTAGAACCAGTTTTTGCATATCAAACCAGTAAACAATTTATTAGAAGTTCTACAATTGTTCTACTTTCTTAAACCAAGAAAGAAAAACAAAAATATACAAAGGAACATGCAAAAACTACAGCATTATCTAGTAGTATTTTTCGAATGTCCCTTGGTTTGAATCCAAAAGCTATTTTTGAAAACGGCAAAAATAATGTTTTAAAAAAATGTTTTATTATTTAGGAGTTCAAGAATTATAAATTTAGCTTGATTGACAGTTTCAGCCAAACATTAAGCCGCTTAATAAAGTGTAATAATATAAATTTTCAGGAAAAGTATGTTGCTTGTGAAGAGCTTCATGAACATTAATACTTTTGCGAAGAAAAGTGAAAAGGAATGAAATTGTTAAGTTTGACCCATGTGAAGCTCAAACCTTTCCTTTTGATGATCCGCTGCTGTGGATTATTCGTTTATTTGATGTTTAATTAAATATTTTTACACTTATCAGTCTTTATATTTCGATTTCTTTCTGTATTCTGTATCATTTCTATATATGTGTTCTGAATCTAGTCACTCCTTTGACTAACGTCTTCCACCGTTTTGATGTTTATAATCATCCCGTGTCATTTTTTAATTTACAAAATACAAGAGTTTACAAAGGTCCAATTTCGAACATTCTAATCTAGGGCTAATTGCGTTCTTTCATATTCAAAAATAAAATCAATTAGCAAATAATTTACCAAACTCGATGCTGATGAATCTCAAGTAAAGTTTATCTAAATTACAATTCAAAAAGGTTCGATGCGGATTGTTCACAGTAAGTTCAACTGAATTTTAATATTACTGGTTGAAACTTTTCTTCAATGTATTGGCAGTGGGTTTCTATGGATTATTTGGCGCTGTTTTAGCCGAAATACGTAACTTTAAACTTCTTTTAATTTTGAGGGTTTATTCAAAAATTAATTTGAAATATAGCATAGCTAGTCACCAGCTTCTCATCTTTGTCATAGTATTTGCCATTCGGTGAGCATTCGATCGCTGCTTCGTGGTTAAACACTTACGTGCTTAAAAACTTATGAAATGGGCTGAGAAATAACTGGTTTTTATCTGAAAAATTCATCTTAGATTTATTTTTATAATTTCCCCTTCTAGTGGTAATTTGAAAATATAATTTCCAGATTAGGTTATTCAAGAAATTTCTCTAAGCAATTTTATGGCTACGAGTTATTCTCTCAAGCTTGGACGTCTGGTCATTTTTAATATATAGTCGCGCCGCGCCGTAGTCTTCATTGATCACCCATATACGGCAGCTATTTCTACATACCAATTTAATTTTGCTTCAGTTGAAATTGCTTTCAGATACACATATAAAATGGTTAACGGCACTATTTAACATACTAAGCGTGACGAATTGGAACGTGACTAAAAGTACATGTGAGTTTTATGATGTTTCGTCTAAAATATGAATGAATGTACAAGCATTTCAAAAATCTCCGAAATGCAATAAGCAATTGTTTGTAATTGTGTCAGTAATTAAATGTTACAGGAATGTAAGCTTAGAACTCAAACGAATGAAATCTCAATTTTTTATAATAATAAATATATATCTAGAAGAAACATAAGATAATGCAACTACCAAAAAGTTAAAATTTTGTTAGACATTTTGAAAATAAAAGTATCCAACTGACGTCGGACAGTATTTCTAGAATCACACATATACGATTGTTAGGTCCTTCCATCCTGGTCTGTTCCGCAACATTTTCAAAATTCCAACAATTGTTAGTAAGAGTTAAATTAATTATATTGACTTTTGCGTATGTTTTAAAACCACAATAATAACTTTAACATTTCCAAAAACAAATTTCAAGCTTATTAGTGCTATAGATCTGGTTAAGCTCACACATTCTCCCCATTCTCTTAGACCCCATATGTTAAGGGTTAATAAATTTAATTAAAATATAACGAATTAAAAGAAATGTCCTCAGGTGGCGCAGATTTGCATAATGGTCTGTTACCGCAAAACTCATGACAACGTTCCATTCAGAGGCCAATATTTACGACCCTATGAACGACATGGACCTGAAAGAGTGATAAAAGTTGTCTCCAAACCATCAAAACACTTTCTTGATGGCAAGAAGAAAAAGTGGTTTTGAATTGTCAGTAGTGAAGCTGTATTGCTTGACACGGCGTTAAATTCGCTTGTAAAACTTTATGACCTTATAAAATCTTTACTGTACAGAAAAAAATATTTTGCATACTACAATTCATAATAAACGAGTTAGGGACTTATGAGACCGTATTGGACCTGACCTATTAAATTAAATTGTTTTGTTTTGTTGTTTGACTCGAAGTATATTTCGTTTTTTTCTCAGCCTAGAATGTAGTTCACACAATGAACGATTAGTTGGCTTGCGTTAAAGTCGATTATTATCCAGCTGTACGAGTATATGGAATATTTATGTAAGATGAATTTCAGATGTACAGAGAATGACTAATAATGACCAATTTTTTGTCAACGTCAAGTGAAATATGTTTTAGTAATATTTTTATAAACTTATAGTAAAAAACGAGATTCATAATATCCTAACCACAGCGAAATAACACTGCGCGGATGTATCTGTTTTAGATCGTTTCAATACATGAAGTGACCACGGGCTTGTGAGAACGAAAATATGTACAAATACTCGGATCGAGACAAAACAATTGTTAGCAACCCTACTTAAACTCCAAGACAAGAAAGATAAATATCACTCCTACATAGAACAAAAACTCCAACCTATAGAGACGCTGAAAGATATAGATCTTAACATCCTATCCGAAAAAATAACCAAAAGCATCCAAATCTCAGTGAAACAAGTAAGCTCACTACAAAAAGGCAGGCCATTAAAGCTTAGTGCAAGCATAATAAATCTTCAAAAGACTCCTCTCTTCGAAGGTGGATAGAGATTCGTCAGACTACAGAGTGATTAACAAACAAGTAAAGAGAGATATAACCAATTATCTGAGAAACCATAACACCCATCTCATATAGCAAGAAATTGAAAACAACCTTAACATGAAGGAATTGAGATTGAGAATGATGAGAGGAAAACACACCACGAAAAATGAGAGGTGAAGAAGGRACAGTACAGTAAGAGGAGCAAGAAATCGTGAGTATTACTGAAAGCTTCTACCGAAAGCTCTACAGACAGGAARTKGCAGACACAGGTTACCAGASAGATAATAGTGCACAAATTCTRAGAGCGATAWTAGAGGAGGMACTGAGATCTATGAAAAGCCGCAARGCTCCAGGAGAACACCGCATTATGGCAGAAATGCTGAAATAAGARGGAGCAACACTGAAAAAGGCAATTCTCATCCTGCTCAATAAGGATCTSGAGGAGGGCCGCAWCCCAGAAGCATGGAGAAACCCARCGGTCAAAATCTTATTTAMGAAAGGAGACTGTAGGAACATCGAAAAGTACAGGCCCATCGTCGACTATCAAAAGGCATTTGACTCGGTAGAAGAMGGCAGTACTAAATKAATTKRATAAGGCTAGGTTCTACTCACAATACTTCACTCTGATAAAGAACTGCTACAAGAATGCCACTTTTCACGCGGAGATARCAGAATACCTCAATACAGGAAAAAATCCCATRAACAGAGGAGTTAGACAAGGAGACTTAATGTACCCAAAACTTTTCACCCTGGCTTTGGAAAGAGTTTTCAAGGCCTTGGATTGSGACTTAAAAGGCATTAACATTGATGGGAGGTACTTGAACCATCTACGTTTTGCAGACGACATTGTCCTGTTTAGCAGTGGTCATGAGGAGCTCACSAACATGTTAAAGGAGCTAAAAGAAGCATTACAAACAGTGGGAATTCAGAAGACCAAAATCATAAGTCTTTATAACGCCCAGGTCATCCTAGRYAACATTAATAYTGAAACAGTGGATAAATAYTTGTACGTAGGCCATAAAATACAGCTAGGGAGTGAGAACCAAAAACGATCCTCACTTGGGCAAAGTATCTCACATCCTAAGAAATCCTAAAACTCCAATTAATCTAAAGCAGAAGGTGTTCGAGAACTGCATGCTACAGATGGACGTATGGCCTTGAGACTATGACCATCAAACAAAAAAGTGCCAATCGTCTGAGAGTATGTCAGAGAGCCATCCAACGTTCATTGCCTGCCTTAGGGACAGAACGATCGTATTAGAAGGAAAACGGGAGTCTTAGACGTCATGGAAACGGTGGCAAAGAATAATTGTAGATGGGCTGGTTATGTGAGGAGGGACGATGTCAAGTGGACCAAGGCCATACTGCAATGGAGACCTAGGGAAACAAAAAGAAGCGTTGAGCGACCCCCAGACGAAGGACGACATCCAGAAACACCCCGGCAAAATTTTTATCCAAACCGCCCAAGATCGACTTCACTGGAGACAATTGGAAGACACCTACGTTCAGGAGTGGACGAGGATGGGCTAATAATGAATCAATAATTAATTATAAACATGAGGGTAAATCTTCCTACCTCAAACGACAGATTCAATAATGATTTAAGCACAGCTTTTTAGAAGAAATTATGGAAACTAAGATCAAAAATTGCCTTTAATCTTGGCTCATTTAATAATTTAAATAATTTTAATCTTGGCTCATACGTGTATTTTCAGTAGCATTCAGTAAGAAATAAAAACGAAATTTACGAAACCACGAACAACGTATTTCTTTCAACGCCTTGCAGATCAAAACACAAGCGTGTTATTATATGCTTCTATGTGAACTTTTCGCATTCAATTTAACTCAGGCTTCACCTATTTAATGTTTTAACATCTATTCAGCTAAATTAAATATTGGGTTAACTCGAGCTGACTTGAGCATGCAAAGCTGGGCAGAATAAAAATTTATATTTTCCGAACGATTCTTTCCTGAAAAGCAATGAACATATTTTATATTAAGCTTACACATATAACTATTTAATCTTTGTATCCATCTTTTTAATATTTAACACAAGTTTCCCGGTTGCTTCTCTTTACATGCCAAAAAATTTTGTTAATGTCCGAAAACTTTCCTCCGGAAAAGTATCCGCATTTGAACAGGTATTAGAAAGTGATGCAACTATTCGAGCACAGGAACTGATAGAAGAATGACAATCAAAGGAAAGCGAATGAAAATATTTCAGTTAAAACGACAAGGTACAAAAATAATGCTGCTGGAATATTTCAAACAAATATAAAAAAATTAACGCAGGACAATATACAGCAAACAAATATTCTGTCTGCAAAATAAACTATGTCCATTTACTACTTCATCAGTCATCAATAGTCGTATGTCAGTATGTTAATAACACTTTTATTTTCAATTGTTTTCAGTTTACAGCGAATTTTTTATTTTTTCTTTCATATAATTTAATTCAAAAATCTGAAGATAATTTTTTTTAGGTAAGATTTTGCTTCTCAATATGCATGAAAGCTATAATATTAATGGAAAAATATAATACATTGAATTTTGGAAGAAATAAATAACAAATATGTTTTTTTAAGAAGTCAATAATTAAAATTTCCACCTGATTCTGAAACTCATCATATTCACCTATCTGAGGCTTTCGGCTTGCTAAGATGATAGTAATAAATCAACTAAAAATGGAACTATTTCCACTATATCAGACCAATAATTGAACAATATGCTTCCTCCCCTTGAACATAAAACAATTTTGCAGAGGAATGACTTTTGCTTGCAGTAAATTAATTTCAGCAAAAACAGTTCGATAATAAAAAGTTGGTCGCCAGAATAATAAAAAGAGCTTTTAAGTACGTTGGTACTTTCATAAAGGATATAAGTACGCATATTGCAAAGCATGTTATCAAAGAAAACGAGAAAATAACGTGGTGCAATACGTCAATTTAAAGAAAATACTTAAGCTAAAATCTCTACGGATAAATTCATATCACTAAATGGTGCTGTCAAGTAATGTGCGAATTAAAATGAACGTCTCCATATAATGTTGTACCGAAGGGAAGAGCGCATTTATCATTAGACATATTTTCCCGCTTTCAGTTATTTTCTATTAATTCGCAGCTTGGTAAAGACGATAATCAAAGGCGAGTAGCAATTTTTAACGTTGACACATCCAGCAAGAGTCGCAATACGCGATAAAAATAGTAAGTAATTGCCAGGAATTATCGGTATTACGCCGAAGAATGTACAGTAGTTTATCATGTTTTATTTACACCGATGCTGAATCAAATTTATATCTTTCAGTTCTCATCATTTCCACACCCCTACATGGTGACAAACAGAAGAAAACTTGAGAAAAAAAAACAACTTAAATTGTCGTTTTAGCCAATACCTTGTAAATATAAGGGATTGTATTGCTGAATATAGGTTTGGTTTGCTAAAGTTCAATTTTTGAATTAATTTGTTTGTAGAATATGATATTGATAGCTTGATAAATGATTATAAGTTTGAACTGACAATTCGATTTAACAACGTTATTTCTGGATGAAACGTACTTTTCTTATGTTGAAAGTGATGCATAGATAACACCTAAATGTTTTTGCTTTTAAACATTAAGAAATTAAATTACATAATTAAAATACGCACAAAAAACAGAATTTATAAAATTAATATTCAAAAATATTATACACGATTTCTGAATTCCATAACATGCATATTAACGCAAGTAAAGCAAAATGGTCTTTAAAAATGCACTAAGTTAAAGAATGGACAGTGAAAATATAGCGCAAACTTGCTAAATTTTCATATTCAGCTAATTTGGTATAAAATGAAGGCGGTTATTTTTATTATCTATCACTTAATTTAAATCTTTTCTTACCTTCATAACTTCTTTAACAGATCTCGAGGTCATATCATGAATTTAAGCTTTTAAACAGTCCTGGAATATAGAGAATAACGTCAAATTCACATATACTGGCTRGTAAACCGTGTGTTAGATATGAGAAATATGTAGATATTAACCGTTGTGATATGAGGAAATRGTTCTAAAATGCRTTCAGTGAGTRTTAATAATCGAATTGAAAGCCTATACAGCTTGCAATCTTAAASTATATTAATGTTCAGGATATACCTGGAGYTACTTYCATTAATGCAAAATAGTTGTTATAAATAGTTGAAATGCAGACATATTGAATCCATAAAATCCACATGTGACATATGAAATCCCTGAAAATGCAGACATATTTTCAATTCCTTATTAAGTATGTATCCGGTTATCAAAAAGCAACATAAAGTTTAATTATTGTCAAAAAATTTGACCCTAATGATTGATTAGGGATCAGAGGAACTTTATCCAAACACAGACAGTGCAGTTGCACGTTTAGAAGCAGTGGTTTAAATTATTTATTCTAGAAGACATGTATTTATATTATTGCTGCCGTTATTTTAAAGTTATTTAATTTGTAGCGAAATTTTGCCTGTTCCTGGATAGACAAAGCGAAGTTTGCTACGAAATTGTACAGTTATTTCGCGAATAGCATCCCATTGAATTAAACGTCCTCATCATAATCGCCACGCCAAATCAGCTGAATATAATGTTTCAATGCATCTTACTATTTTTCCTTCGACCTTAAGTACCAACAAGTAAGTGTGTAAATATTAAACGAATAACCCAGACTAGCCATTAGTTTAACAGATAAATAGCGTTGTATTTCAAAATTACGCTTATCTGATTGGCTTTGACGACGCCGATTAGAAGAACACCACTACCCACAGATTTCCTGACTACTTTTCTATACCATCTTGAAGGCATATTGGACTAACGTGTACTATTTTCTTCATTTTTAATAGAACACGTGTCACATGGTTAATATTCATGGGTAACTGAACGCCGGAAAAGTTAAACTTCCATGCTCAATTTAAAGACGAAAAATTCATTAAAATTTATAAAAATTAAAGTCACATACAATCTATAACATATATGTTGATGACTGCTCACTATTTACTTCAAAATGAGTCAAAAATTGTGCTGCTTCCGATTCAGAAAGTTACAACAACAAGAATATGTTTTTTTAATAGTAGACACGCATCATATTACAAAAAGAAATAACTACATACACATTCTTTAAAAATATGAAAATGAAGTAATTAAAATATGTTGCTGATTTCTTTTCGGGAAGAACTTGGTAATCCTTGAATGTGCAGATTAAGATAACTTTTGAGAATAAACGTCGAGCGTAAACGACATTTGTAGGTGTAATCCGCGCATCACGTATATAACACGTATATAACTTTATTATAATACTTAATTTGCCAATGAAAATCATCAGCGTTTTCCAAAAGCCGCATTTAAAAATATGCTTAAAACAGAAATTTACTTTTTTTACCAAACAGTCCTCATTGGTGTAATCTCAAACTCGCTGCTTTGGAGATAGATATACTTTTAACTTTTAATAAATAATATTTTAAAAGAAAATTACAATTCATTGCTGGTTCTCCAAAACAATATTTAATTCTCTAATTACTGAAATTAAACTTTTTGGTAAATTTATAGAAACATAAAGGAAAAATGTAATTTCGTGTATACGATACGACTTAGCTCCAGACAAAATAATCAGCTTATAGAAAAGTTGTAAATGAAAAATTCGTAAACCTTTGGCTCACATCAAATTCTATACACAGGCAGCACCTTGCACTAAAACTGTGCAAAAGCTGTGTATTTCAAAGCTCAAATTAACCTCCAGGGCTTTCAGGCAAAACGGCATAAAAATTCGGCTGAATTTAGGTTCCGAATATCTCACAGCGGAATATTTCAAATGTTGAAAAAGTGTTAAATCCACATCTATTTCTGATGGGAACATTACTATCATTGATCAGTCGAATTTTTTTTCATTAGTCATTATTGTCTTAGATAATACCGTCCAATCATATATTAATTTATAGGTGCGTGTTTCAATAAAACAACAATAAAAGCAGGACCAAGTCCGTTCCCCCTTTCAAACCTATCTGAGCTAAAATCCATTACTCCAAAACAATACGGCGGTTGTCCACCACCCACAGAGTCTGAATTTGGGGGATGATTTTTGAATGACCACTCGTGCGAGAGATATTCTGTTTAAATTTATTGTTTGGTTTTTAAAGTTGGTTTCATATTATCTGATGGATTAGCGGGGGGCTGGGAAGATGAATATTCGAATATGGGGTCGCAGAAGTGGAAACTTGAACAAAGAAACAGTATGAAAATGCTTGAATATTTCAGTGKGTAACATCTTTTTGCTAAAAGGTGGTCGCAAACGTTTATATTATTCAATTCAGTGGCTGTACATTTTTATCACATAAATATATTCCTTAYGAGTCAATATTTTGAATTAGTGAGTTTCGATYATTGAGAGATTTGCATATTCAAATGTCAAAAATGTACTTCCGTTTCYGTGAATGAGTTTGAAACTAAAAGCACGCAAGCAAAGAAYAAATTTATTTTCAGAATATTGTATACCAAGCATTCAATAATTATTTTTAGTCAACTGCAACAWGAGACTGCCAACAAAACCAGAAATTTTGCAATGCGGTATCAATTGATTGGATATTTCTTGCTCAACTTAGTTGCAGAAAAGTATCAGTTCACATTTCCAAATAAGAAAAAGGAAAGAAATAAAATAAAAGAATGATATCAATGAATGATCAAATAATCTTCCAAAATTCGAAAAGGAAGTTAAGCATCGTTGGTTATTACTTAGGTTATTCACTATAGTAACTTTTTTGTACATTGCGCCATTTCTGTTAGATTTCATGAAAAAAAGCAGACTTGATTAGAAGTTTCTCTAAATTAATATGAAATTTCAGTTTAAATGCAGTTTCATCTTTCGTTGGACTTACTAGGTTCTTTCACTTATCTAATGACGATTGTCTCTTGGCAGTTGAGTAAGTAACGGGTTATCCAATTCGAGATTGGGAAAGTAAAACCTTGTTATTTGCTATCTGTTAAAGGTAAACGTCATCCGAAGCGTTTTTGTTTTAGTTGAAGGTTTGAAATTTTGGAATATGGATCGTTCAACTGTCGAAGAACGCGTAAAAATTATTAAATGTTACTATAAAAATGGTGACTCTGCCGCCTGTCAACGTTTAGGTCTTTACGAGCAGATTACGGTCGACATAATCGACCCACAGAGCAAATAATTTCGAACACAGTGGACAAATTTTAAGATACTTGATCGGTTACTGAAATTGTAAAGCCTGTGYATCATCGCAAYATTCGTTCAGCTGAAGATATTGCCGTTGTTGATCAAAGTGTGGAGGAAGAACCGAATTCGTCGATTCCCCGACGTGATTAACWTTTGGGCTTGTCTTACGGCTCAGTGTGGCCAATTTTGCAAYTGGATTTGAAGCTCCAACCGTACAAAGTGCAACTGACTCAAGAACTTAAGCCTCAAGTTCATGGSCAACGCAGAACATACGCAAATTGGGTGGTTGAACAGCAAGCTGTTGATGATGATTTTTCGAACCGMATTTGCTTCAGGGATRAGGCTCATTTTTCGCTCGGTGGTTACGTGAATAAACAGAACAACCGTATAGGGGGCTCTCTAAATCCTCAGCTGATCGCAGAAAAACTTTTGCATCCTGAAAATGTGACCGTATGGTGTGCATTATGGTCCGGTGGTGTTAGTAGCCCGTATTTTTTTTAAACGATCAAGGAAGAGCTGTAACAGTCAATTCTGAGTGTTATGAACGCATGTTAACCGATTATTTTTGGAGAGAAATTGAAGATTATAATTTAGAAGACATGTGGTTCAAGCAGGATGGGCAACGTTGTGTGACTATACAACACTGACAGTGAGAGCCCTATTGCAAGAGAAATTTCCGGGACGCGTAATTTCTAGATTGAGTGATGTCAATTGGCCCGCAAGATCCTGCGACTTAACACTGTTAGATTTCTTTTTGTGGGGCGATGGAAAAGACCGTGTTTACGCCAACAATCCTCAAACTCTTGAGCAACTGAAAGCATATATCCGTGAAGTTATGATCGAGATATTACCGGTAATGTGCCGGCAAGTCATTCAAAACTACCTCAAAAGGATTGAGGCCTGTAGGAGGTCCTGTCGAGGACATTTAAATGATATTGTTTTTCACGTATAATGGCAAGGTTTAATCTTTATATTGAATAAAAATTTTCCTCTGTATATTAAAGTTCCTTAAAAACATTATTGCAATGCTAAATTTGTCCAAATGCGGTACTTAATTCTTATCAAAACCTAGCTTCTGCGACCAGACTAAATATAAGAACAATGACAAAACTTCTCTGTACTTTTTTAAGTTTTTGCAGGTGATTTGTTCTTTCATCCATCATTAGCAGTATTTCGCCTGTCATCCAAAATTTACTTTTTCCCTGTCTTTGGTTCTAATTGCTTCTTCTGCTAAAATACTCAGTACTTTTGCATTTCCATTGATCTTGTGTGTGACACTGTGAATCTGTTAATTGTGAGTAGCGATATTTACTACTCTTCGCAAAAGCAGCAATCGTATTTTTATTATTAGTACCTATTGGAGTAAAACTGGAAGCCGATAATCACAGTTTGAAAATGTATTTTTATGGTACCTGCAATCCTGTATCGTTTTCTAAAATGCCTTGCTACTTATGTTTCCGTTATACAGTCTTAAACCAAATATATCCCCAGATATTAATTCAGATAAGCCAACAAACGCAGAATTCCATCGGCAACCAATCCAGCGAAATGCCTATAACCAAATCAGATGATTTGCCCATAAGCACATGTGTCTGTTAATAGATAACGCATTCTTGCGACCGTAGGTTGCAAGAATGCAGTCAGATTATATCAAAATATATTTATTTACTTGATAAGTCGTAATTATAATACTGTTGTACTACCACAATTATTACCGCTGATCTGATAAATATAGTGTTTTGCATTCGTTTCGTTGGCGGAGAAAAGTATATCCGTTTGAAATCAATGCAAACCTGTTAAATGTTTCTTCTGAACGATAATCATAAGATCAAGGTTTTGCGATGATAAACTACATAAGGGACATGCACCTACTTACACAGGAAATTTGTTAAAACGTAATTTCTACATTACATAAATCACGAAATTATTAC